AACTAACTTGAATTTTTGCTGATGAATGAACAATGAAATTAAACAACTGTCAACTGATAATTTGATAAAATGTATCAAATAGGTAGACAATAAGTAGGTAGTTAGTGCCCAGCTTTGTCCAATTTATTAATTTAGAGATAACATTATTAAAATTGGTTTTGGTATAAAGTTTCATATTAATAATATAATAACTACGAACTACCTTTATTATTTATCTAATAATAAGGTTATAACTTCTTTACTTTCTTGTCTAATTAGTATGATTTACATATAACATCATAAATAATTGCATACAACACGAAAAAAGTAAGTACTGATTAATATTGCTGTAGTAATACAAAAATCAAGTAAAAAATTATAATATTAATTTGGGGCCTCCAAACAAATGTTGCACACGGGCCTCGGAGTTAATAGTTGCGGCACTGCATGTATCTACAGTTATTTGTTTTTGAATTACAACAAAATAAGGAAATCGCTACATGGGAAATCGAGTGAATTTTCAATGTTGTAAAAATTTGAATTTCAAACGCTCATAAAAATTTAATTTGACTTTCTTATAGACATTTTTCTTTTGATAAAGGTAGATAATCTTATAAGGAATCTTGTGTTTAATTTTCAAATCTTAGATTTAAAAAGAAAAATTTTTACGAATTCTTAACTCAAAATAATTTGCTAATTTTCGTGATTTTTCCATATTTTGTCAATTTTTGAACTTTAAATGATTATAAAAAAAAATTGTGACTAAGGATTTTTAATATTTTTCATCTGCCTTTGAAACAATATATTAGGAGCCTTCTATTAAATTTTCAAGCTTTCGCAACCAACAAATAAAATTTTATTGATATTTTTAGATAAAAAACTAAAAAAAAATGGAAAATGAAAATGTCCCTAAACAGTTCAAAATAAATCAAAATATTTTGAAAATGTTATCGTGTATAGAAAATGCAAATATAAACAACCAGTGAAAATTTCATGTATATACGTTAATTTGTTTCAGAGTTACACCAAAAACCAAAATCGATTTTTTGGAAAACCAATTTTGCGTAAAAATTCCCATTTTTCCTTAATTTTTATGTTGTTTTTCCCGGCGCTTGTGAAAACTACTGGGAAATTTATACTTTTGACCCCCCAAAGTACCAACTAGATTCACTTTCCTATCAGAAAAGCTATTGATGAAGAAAATCCAAGCACTTTTACTGTCCTAAAATGTGATGACAGACACAAAAATAAAAAAAATTAAAAAAAATTAAAAAATTAAAAAAAAAACACACATCATTGTAAAATCAATACATTCATCGTTTCACTCAGAATCTAAAAAATGTATATATAGCTAAACGCCTATTTATACCGTATTTCATCTTATAACAATATTACCTGCACATGTTATTATATTCGAAAAAACAACAAAAAACTAACGAATTCTTTGGTTTAATTTTTGACGTCATGACACTCGTTCGATTTATTTCGTGCACAATTCAATTTAAATTAGATCACTTGGACAATATAGGTATTATTATAATAACTATTAAATGTAAAATAGAAATTGTTTTACACGCGGGAGTTGTATAGAATTCGAAAAACAGACACGGAAAATTTTTTTTTTTGGTGGGGGGTTACATTTGCGGTGCATGGCCGGTTTGATCCATATTTACCGGGCCGAAAAAATTCGCCAATCCGCCCCTGACTATAAATCGGACGAAGAATTTTCTGTATTTTGCCGACAATTGGACGCATTAGCATTTTTACCATTATGTGATGTAGCTGAAGGAATGGTATACTTAAAAAGTATAATGCCAGAAAAAGGTTCAGCCATATTAGAATATTTGGACAACACTTATGTGACCGGTACATTTAAAAGAATTAATTCGACACAAGATAATTGCATACGCTTGTGGAATTGTCCACCCTTATTTCCACCACACGTATGGAATGTCCATAATATCACATTGAACGACGGTGATCGGACGAATAATGAAACTGAAGGATGGAATCATAGATTTTAAAAGTTAGTGGGACATTGCCATCCCTCTATATGGGTATTGATAACGAAATTCCGACTGGAGGTAGCGAATGACGAAACGAAATTAGCTCAAAATGCATTGGGGACATAACCAAAAAAAAAAAAAATCAAAGATTTATGCAGAGTTACAAAATAAATTAAAAAATATATGTAAGTAATATTCAAGTGGGGAAAGAGATATTCCAAATTGTTTAAAGACTATAGCATATACTATACCTACGATATTTGTGATTTTTAATTTTTTTTTTATATAACAGCTAGCTGTACCCGTAGCTATATAACATATTATAATATACTATTTGATATTTGTAATTAATAATTAATAATTTTAATTTTAATTTTTATATTTATATTTCACCAAACTGTTTATAGTAAAATTATAGTAATATTGTGCCATTATTTTATCAATAAACTTAAAAACCATGATTGTGATTTTTAGATAAAAATTGTCGGTTTTTCCATGACGTTTTTTACCCCTGGCGTTTTTTTTCGTGTCGTTTTTTTCCGCGATTCATTATAATCAGGACCGGCTTGAAGGCGGTTCGAGCTGTGCAGTGGCACAGGGCCCCTGATTGTAAGGACTCGCGGATCGCGGTCTGTTGCATAAATAAATTACCGGATATTATTTTGATGTGGATTAAAAACGGATGTGTTTGGCCACCAAAATACTATTCGTATACGTTATACGTATACATTTTTACATATCCTCGGATAGGTAGGTAACTCTAATACCTATAGTGTGGGTAGTGTGGCTTAAATCATTTATTCGTATCCGTATGACACGTAACTGTAGCGTGATAACTGATAGTACAATGTTGAGAAGCAATGGCTACAACGGTGGGTTATTCGAATAATGTTATTAGAACCGAGCTATTTCTAACGATATTACAGTATATTGTATATTCGTCGAAAATTAATAATAATAAAAGGTATATTTTATTTAAAAACACTATGTTTATCATTTTGTTGATGACCACCATCGAGCTTAGACGTCAGACCAAACGAAGGAGACATTCACGGTAAATAATATTATAATTATTAATATATTTGATTTATTATATTTAAATTAAAATAAAGTTTAGTAAAGTTGTTAGTAGTCATTTTGTAATATCCTATAATAATATAATATTCAGATATTGAAAAAATAAATACAAATAGATAATGTTTGTATAAATATATTAACAGTTAAAACGTTTAGATTATGACACCTAACCTGGTTTTTATGAAGAATTTTAATGCTCCTAAACATTTGAATAGGCCATTTGTAAATAATTATATATTTTAGTATAATTATTTGTGATTTGTTTATTTTATATTTTTATCATTATATGCTATATTATTAGAGCTATAATCAGTAGCGGATTGTGACTTAAATTGAGGCAATTTTTGAATTATAGTATATTTATAAATTATAATACATTTTGTCGTGTGCGAACATTAAATTATTTCTTTCAGATAGCTGGAGATTATGTGTACGTATGCAAACACATACAGTGTTAGGACGAAAAAATAACAATTATATATTTTATGTAATATTATATGATTTTATAAATAACATTTATGTATTTTTCTTTGTAATTTTAATATTTTTATACGGCAATTTTGATATATTTTTAAGGAAATTATAACAGATTTTTAGTTTTATGCAAACGCAAGTAATCGTACCTATATAAAATGTGATTTTACACGAAAAAAAATTAGTATTGGTATTTCGTATTAGTATTTAGTATTAAGTATAGGTGTAAGTAACGATTAAATATTAAATAGGTAGGTAGACGTTTTTAAAATGTTAAATACGTTTGTACTTGCACATTCCTGAAAAATTACCAGTAATATAGTGCCATACCGTAAAACCGGGTGAATAGAAACACTTTTCAACTTCAAAAGCTTATAACTTAGGAATGGAAATAACAAAACAGCATATTAATAACTTAAAATATGGGTCTATAAATACACAATACAATCATTAAAATTTAAAAAAACTAAATTTCAAAATTTATTTTATATTTATTTTTAAGTAGGTATGCTGTTTCTATTCATCCTCATGTATGGGTGAATAGAAACAAAAATATATATTTAATATGATTTGTTATTCACGATTCACCCTGTTCAATTGTGAATAGAAACAGTTTTAAAAAATACAATATCATTTCAATACAAAGTATATATTTTTTTTTTTTTACATAATTTAATACAACAAAATGAATTCTTAAAAATATGTCAAAATAAACCAAGGGATTGAATAGAAACAACATTTATAAAAATTCACGATTTTCTAATCAATGTTTGGCTATAATGGAGGAACAATAAAATAATAATCCTTAATTATTTGAAAAGTACACTACTTGACAATCGATAATATAAATTAAAAATATTGATAATATGAAAAACTCGATCGTGGGGATATCGAGCAAAACACTGATTTTGTTTCTATTCACCAGGTTTTACGGTTAGGTTAGGTAACAAGTACCGAACATTATATATAATAGGTATAATATCCATAATGAATCGCAGTAATATAATATAACGAATAATAATATTTCTGAGGACAAGAAGGTGTGTTTTTTCCATTATTCCCAATACAACGTTCTTTATATCATTTAGAAATTGCAAAAATGTCAACATTTTTAAATGACAACTTTTCAAAATTAAAATTTTTTTTTTAAAAACACACCGTTAACTTCTTTTTAAAAGTATTTTTTTTTTAAAACACTACCCATCCTTGATGACTATGCATAAATTATTTTATTTCAGTATTGCTTAAGTTCTTTAAACGTACTTTGTTTATGTTTATAAATTGGTAATTTAACATAATTATTTTTTATTTCGATATAGATTATATAAAATGGCTAGCAGATCGTGATCGATTTAGAAAATATTTAAGTGGCAGTGAAAAGGCAAAAATTAAACTTAAAATGATGAGTAGAATATTTTTCAATGTATCATATTAGAAACGATATTATACTTAGCTGAAGGTAACATGGCTTTTAGAAGTATAACTGATAAATTATACGAGCTACATAACGGTAATTTTTTAAGGCTTATAGAATTAATTACAAAGCTTGATCCCGTACTTAAAGACCATATTTCAATGAGTGCTCCTACAGTTGAAGGGACTAAAAGAAAAAAAAATCACTTATCACATACCATCCAAGATGAATTAATAACAAAAATGGCTGAAAAAGTTAAATTTGAAATTGTAAGTAAAATAAAAAAAGCAAAATATTATTCAATCCTACTTGATTGTACTCCTAACCACCAAGAGCAATTATCGGTAGTTCTACGTTTTGTTATCACAGAAGCTGAGATTATCGAAATTGAAGAACGATTTATATGTTTTGAAATTGTTGATGATATACAGGCCAAAGTTTATCTGATAAAATAAAACAGTTGTTAAATTTTTAAGGATTAAGTATCTTAGACTGTAGGGACCAAGGGTATGCCAATGGTGCAAATATGAAAGGAATATACAACGGAGTACAAGCTCATATACTGAAATAAAATCCTAAAGCATTTTTTACACAGTCATAATTTAAACTTAGTACTCGGAGACATCTCTAAATCGTCAGTTTTTGCAATTTCATTTTTTGGAACTCTACAAAAGGTTATAACATTTTTTTCTGGGTCAACTGCTCGCTGGGATTTATTAAAAAAATATGTAAAAAAACTAACACCAAAACCGTTATCCGATACAAGATGGGAATGTCGCTTGGAAAGTGTTAAATCTATTAGGTATCAAGTAAATGAGTTTCATGCGGCTTTGAAAGACTTACGCCAAAAAACACTAGATCCTAAGATTAAATGTGAAATCATAGGAATTGAAAATGAATTTATGTCATTTGAATTTTTGGTTAGTTTAATCATTTTATATGACTTGTTAAACCATGTAAACATAGTTTTACAAAATTCTAAAATGTGTATAAGTATGGCAACTTCTCATTTAAATGAACTGTTAATGTTGAACAGGGACGCCCGGAGGGAGGGGCTAGTGGGGGCCATTGCCCCCCCTGAGATTTTTCGTGTCACTTACGAAATTGGAAGTTTTTTTACATAAAGTTGATCTTGAGCGACTATTCGACAATCCTTGTATTTAACAAGTCATATAGGAGGTATTTAATCGCAATAAAAGACATGACGATTATTTTCAATACTTTTGGCTGGTTAGGCGCAGTGTCGGACTGGCTCGAAAAAGCCCAGTCCGCGATTTGGAAAAAAGGCCCCCCCCAACATGGCGAATGTTTTAATTAGCCCAGAAAAAAAACTCGCTTCGATCGCAATTCACTTTTCATGTACCTGTTACATAGTCACATATAGAACATTTTTTTTTCAAAACAATTGCCATCTTTCATATTACTTATCATACAGCCTTAAAGGCACAAATAACTAAATACATACCGAACTAAAATTCAATCATTGGATATATTAACAGGTTTTACTATATTTTCAATATAGAATTTATATTGAGCATATTCTCAAATCTAAGACTTTCTGCAGGTCCTAAGTAAATTGAGTACAAGAGACCCATCGGACTGTTTTTATTATCAGACAGGGGAAATCCCTCCTATTCAACCCCCCAAACTAAGCCACTGGGGCGTAGCCCTTATACTGACTACACCATGTTCTGTGACATCAAACATTATAAAGACAAACACCAATTCAAATTGCCTCAAATTGTGCACGACACAATACTTATCCAAAATAGAATAATTCAGTTAAAATCAGCGATAATGCGAAATAATACCAATTACCAAGTACAGATATATATAATAATATATATTATATATATCTGTGTTACCAAGTCATACTCATACGCTCGTATAAATATAATATAATATTATTTAATAGTCACAACAATTTTACACTATTTATAATAAATGATACATATTTGTATATAGACACTAGACAGCTATTAAATTCGTAGAATGATAATGAATATAAGGTCATTATTTAAATTTTTTCCTTTCATATTTCATTATTTTAATATTCATTAAGAACGTCTCAAGATTGTAAACAAAAATACGTTTCCTGATTTGAAAAAAAAAATGTATATTTCGTATTTCTGTTTACTCTAAACGAATAATAATAATATTAATAGGTACAAAATCAGGGGCCTCCAATTACCATAATTAAGCAAGGGCCCCGTCCGCAATTGCGGACTAGCGGTCCGGGCCAGTCCGACTCTGGTTAGGCGTAATTGCCGAAATCGTGTATGAAAAACATATTATTATAATAATCAAATCAAAATACTTGGAAAGCAATAAAGCAAACGGGATTATAAATTATATCGTATAATGTACGACGTTTACGACAGAATTACAGATAATATAATATTAAAACCGATTAGCGGTTTCTGCGATTGCGATATCGATATCTTACAAATTATAATTCCCAATATATGTTCACATTTCCTTTCGATAGCATTTTTCATAATTGACCGTATTGAAATGTCTGCGCAGTCAGTCTGTACTCTATTCTCTGTAGCAGTGCTTTCAATTTGTCTTATAATCTGTTTACCACCGCACATAAAATGAGCAAAGAATCAAAAAACAATATTTTGAAATACTTCAGCTCGACTACCTCAACATCAACAAAAACTAATAAAAAACGAAAACTTGACGACGACGTTGTTCAAAATAATGACATTTCAGGAAAACAGGTAAGATTTACTATTATTTTTATTTTACAAAGATTTTAGATTATATTATAATGTAGACTTTTTAATTATTTAAAGGTAAGAGTGTATAAGACTCTTTCTTTTAACATATTTTTATTTTACTCATTTAATTGTAGTAATAAGTAGTAGTAAGTATCTAATACTGTATTTATTTTGTGTTGTTTTTATAGCAGTCACTTGCTGCAATTGATCATCATGAAGTAGAAGAATGTGTAGATGACCCTGAATTTGTTTCTGACCAGACCGATGTTGTAGCTAATTTTGAAGAAGTAAGTTTAGTGTGTCTGTGTGTAGTAAAATTTTACTAATTAAAATTAAAATTAAAATTTACTATTAAATAATGTAGGTATAAATGTAAAAATAAACTCAAAATTCTTTGATTATATTTTTATTTTACTAATTTAGTTGTAATAAGCATTAAATGTATTTATTATGGTTTTATAGAAGTCACTTGCTATGATTGGTGACAAAGATAAAGTACTCATAGAAGAATGCGTAGCTGATCATGCATTAATTTCTGTAGACCACACCAATGTGCTTTCCAATAACGATTTAGGACATTTTATAGAAACTTATTCACAAATTTCTGAAGATAAAAAGTTTGATCTTTTAACTAATCCATGGATGCCTAGTAAACATTACAATTTTAAAAATGATGTTGAAGACAGTAAACGTCCATTTTTGTTTAAATGGTTTTCACAATACCCACGGTTAGTTTATTCAGAGTTATTGAAAGGAGCTCTTTGCCTTACGTGTGTTCTCTTTCGGCCTCGTGTGACACTCGGTTCATGCTTTGGATTTTTTATAACTAGCTCATTTGTAAATCATAAAAAATTTATAGAAAAGGCTAATCAACATGAGAAAAATAAATGGCATATTGAATCTTTCATACGATCCAAAGATTTTAAAGATATGAAAAAAACAAATTGTGGTATTGACCAGGTATTAGATTCTTGTTATAAAAATAAAATTGAACAAAATAGAAATAAATTAAAACCAATAATTTCTTCACTTCTATTTTGTGCAATACATAATTTACCGATTCGGGGAGATACAGACAACACTGCAGTATTTAATGACTTATTACAATTCAGAGTCGATGCTGGTGATTTGACTTTAAAAACTCATTTAGAAAAATCCAATAAAAATGCATTATATATATCACATCGTGTGCAAAATGAATTATTAGAATGTTTATCTTCTAGTTTAAGATCAGTGATTACCAATGAAGCTATGCAAGCATATTGTTTTTCATTAATTGTTGATGAAACGGCTGACATTAATGGTACTGAGCAGTTATCAATTTGTGTAAGGTATCTGGATAACACAAATTTGCATGAAGAATTTTTAGGGTTTTTCCCCTTAAAAGAGTTTGATGCTTCATCTATTACTCAAACAATATTAGAAGCATGTACTAACCTAAACATTGACATGAATAAATGTGTTGGACAGGGGTACGATGGATGTGCTACGATGGCTGGCCATATATCTGGAGTACAAAAAAGAATTAATAATGTGTATCCCATGGCTAATTTTTTCCATTGCGCTAGTCATCGTTTAAATTTGGTAATAAATGATTTGAATTCTCTTGCTGAAGTTAGAAATTGTATAGGGAAAATAAAAGAAGTTACTACATTTGTTAGAGATAGTGCACTTCGTAGAAATATTGTAGGGAGTCATTTGACAAAATTATGTGAAACAAGGTTCGTTGAAAAACATAAAAGTATCAGACAATTTAAGGACCAATATGTAACAATTGTTGAAGGCTTGGAAGAAATATCAAAATCTAATAATTTCAACAGCAAAACTAGACAACGTAGCTATGAAATGCTTACTGCAATCACTACTCCAACATTTGTTGTAATATTATCAATCATGGCAAAATATTCTGCGAAATTTGAAACTGTATCAACACTTCTTCAAGCGGTAGATGTTGACCTGCAAGAAGCTACAAAACATATTCAAGACCTTTTATCAATGTTAGATATAGACCGTAATAATTGTGAGAATCGGTTCAATACAATATTTAATGAAGTAAAATTAGTTGCTTCTAAAATAGATTTGGAGTTAAAGTTACCACGGCGTAGTATTAAACAAGTACATCGTGAAAACTATCCAACTAATGATGTTGAGATATATTTTAGACAATCATTATTTATACCATACTTGGAATCAATTATAATGTCTCTAAAAGATAGATTTTCAGATGAAAAATTAAAAATATTTACATTATACAACCTACACCCAAAAAAAATGAAACTAATGAGCGACCAAAAATTCATAGAAAGTATTGAAGTTATTTGTACACTTTATGGTTCACTTCTAGACAATTTTAAAGAACAAGCATTGTCATGGTATGATCTATGGAAAAATAAAGAAGTCGAACCCACCATGAAATTAATTGATGTTCTCGATTACGCCACATATTACCCAGCGGTATGCCAAGCTATACAAATTGCAATTACTTTACCTGTAACTTCCTGCTCAGTAGAACGATCGTTTAGGTACTGTTTTTAAATCAGTATTTTTACAAATTGTATTCAGTGTATAAGTTCATACTTAAAATAACTTTTTAATTATGTTTCAGCACTTTACGCCGTTTAAAGACTTGGATTAGAAATAGGATGGGAAACGAAAGACTGAGTAGCTTGGGGTTGATTAATATACACCGCCAAAGGTATGATCATAAACAATTTTTGAATCAACAAATTGATGATTCAATTAATTTGTTTGCTTCAAACAAAAGGAGATTGTCATTACTTTTTGAATAATAATAATATGATGATAATATGATATAAATTAAATTAAATAAAGTGGTTTTTTGTTTAAAATGTATTAAGTATGTTCTTTCTTATAAATATTAGAACTAATAGTGTAATTTTATATAAAGTTAAATTTGTTTTTATTTAAAAAAAATTTTGTTTGCCCCCCCTGAGCTGCATCTCTGCGGGCGTGCCTGATGTTGAAATATACAATTAATATTAGTATTCAAACCATGTAAACACACGTGCGTGTACAATGCAGTTTTCTAATAGATACTTATGCAGTTACGATATAGCTGTGCAACACCTTTACTAGCGCTTTCTATATTATATACGGATACGGGATGGCCTCGATTGTTCATATAAATAGGGCTTTTGATGTATGTAATAATTACTTGCACAGACGCTGTCTTACCGAGTGTACGCGGTGTGTGTGTACAGTCACAGTTTAATTGTCCAGTAATTATATATTATACTTATACATAATCATATTGTCGTGTTATTACTTATTATATTAATGCTAAAATCATTAGTCCGTCAAGCTTCACTTTCAACAGTTAAAATATTTTAAAGAGTTTAGAAAAACAGGATTTATTTCATCTATTATTACCGCAAAAGAACTTGCAAATGTCTGGATCTAGATCCTAAATTTGAAGAAAAATGAGTGCGTAGAAAAAAAGACTATTTAGTTACGAAGAATTTGATGGACCAATAATTAATGCACAAGACAAATTTTATGTTAACTATTTTTTAAAAATAGCCGATACAGCTATTATTTCATTCCAAAGAAGATTTACCTCATAAAAATCTGTTTTCGAGAAAATTGAAAATCTGAAAAAAGAAAATCTGTGGTGACTATTGAGAAAATCGGAAAATGACCTCTCTAAAGTACCATCTTGATCCAATTTTCTAAAAGATTAGATACGATATGTTGAAATCGAAGCACTCCTTTTGGTAAAAATTTGGTATACAAGGACTATATTCTTGTAATATATAAAAAAAAAAAACACAATTGTAAACCCCCTAGATCCCTTACTCCACTCAGAATCTAAAATAAACACTAAAGTAAAACTACTAGCCTCCTTGCTCCGTTCAGAATCTAGAATTAATAATCTATTAAAGTTTACGGTATGGTTTGTTAAATTCAGGTCATCCAATCTGTTAATTTAAAAATTAACAACCCTCCCCTTAAAAAAAAATTCAGGTTGAGGTACGCCATTGCTTCATGGGTTTTACAATGATGGTTTTTGTGTCTGGTTATCACATTTTGGTAGTGGCGTAGGCGTAGCTGTGGCCTGTGAACTATTTTATAGCTGTGAACCATAACCATAAATACGTCACTGGCTTTTGGAATAGCAAAAATGTTTCTATCTTCAACTTTAAGGTGGTTTCTGGTAACAAACTGGAACTAGTTGATAGTTCACTACACATTACAGATAGGTTCTAATCTAAATTTCTTACACCTACACGCTCATTGTCCACCTTAGTAAGAAATACAGTTTTAATTTTTTTTTTTGTTCATTACATTCATACAATTAAACAATTAAAGATTTTAATTCTTATAATTTTTCTATTTATGTAATTGTACGGAAATTTATACCCATTACCCATAGCTACCTAAGTATTTCTTATATTAATTGTAGGTAGGTACTTAATATGAAAAAAGTCATAATTTGTATACCTAAAATACACAACTCTGTATAATATTTTTTATGCATTATAAAAAAATTGTTCTTAAAATAATGTGTTTAGAAAAGTATGGTTCCCACCAGACGGTTAGGTGATCACTATGGATATTATTACAATGATGAATTGTGTTATTTATTATATTTTTTTTAAGTTTATTTTTTTTAATTGATAGTGGAAAATTTCAAGTAAATTATTTATATATTTATAATACTGTAAAATGAACGATACTTCATCCCAGCCAAACTGTTTAGTAAACAATAATAATGACTTGAAACCAATATTTCTCGGTAATTCCGTTTATGAATTTTGTAACGATAAGAAGAATGTTGATGACCAACTAACTATATGGGGTTTGGACAATATAAATACCAATGACACAACTACAGCACTGTTTGATACGAATTTCAATGATTACTGTGAAAATTTCAACTCTGAAGAACCAATATTAAATAATAAACAATGCGATTGCAATTGCACCGCTACGTGGCAGCAACTTAAACAAACTTTCGAATTAACTGATGAAGAAATACTCAAGGGATCTAAGACATTAAAATTCATGTTCCCTGAAGATATTTTTTATAGTTTACAAGTGCACCCTACTAATGATTACCAAGATGATAATTTAGATGATTTTATATTAGATGAAGAATACATGTACACACAATTGGGAGATTTTAATGAAATTGGCCCATATCAGGATGCAAATACAGCTATAGAAGAAAAAGAACCAATTATTGTTAATGAACCCAAAGTACAACCAACTATTAAAAAACCAATTAAGCCCGAAAGTAGACAAACTAATGTAATAGACAAAGAAATGACAAAATCCAACGACACAAAAGTTGTTAATAAAAATATTGGTTCCAAAAACCCTGACCAGAAAAACATTAAAAATATAAATCAAAAACAAAACTCTAAAAATAAATCGAAGTCATCTAAAAAACAGGATAAACGTTATACAGAAAGCAAATTACTAGTAAGCTTAAATAATAAAGAAGAAGAAAATAGGATGAATAACATGAAGTATGTGTACACATTTGGTGAGGATTACCGAGGTGGCATAAATTATGGTCATAAAAATTGTGTTAATTTTTGGATGCCAATTCCACATAATAAAGGTTGGATTGATGATAAATTTTTGGAAGCCGTAAGTTGTATATATTAATTTATCATTATAAATTTATAAAATTTGAACTAGAACCTTCTTCCATAAACCTATTACATTTTTGCTTCCTATTTTATGTACACAAATCTGGGTTCATTTAAAAAATAACAATAAAAAAATGTAGGTCATAAAGGTAGTACTCACATAGACATAGGTAATACTTCTAATGAACACAATAATTGGTTTTTAGTTTATAGATAAAAACACGTTAAATAATATAAGTTATAAAGGTTAAAAAATGTTTAAAATGTTTAATTACCTACTTACAGTTTTAGCAATCTTTTTAAGCTGAGCTATTTGAGAGATAGCAATTACTAATGACATTTAAACAAATTAAACAAAACAAAAGGTGGTCAAGTGGGTATCTACACTCTACAGTAGGTATATACCTATATATGTGTCTAAAGGCGTTACAGTAATATATTGTGTGTTAAATTTGAATTCAATTATATATAATATTATACTTTTTTTTTCCGTCATCACCTTTTGGAGCAGTAAAAATGCTTAAATTTTCTACTTAAGCTTATTTTCTGGTAGGAAAATTATCTTTTTAGTTGGTATTTTGGTATTATTAAAAACAAATATAAAAAGTTTATCAAAAGTGAAAAATTCTCAGTAGGTATGTTATTAAATGCCGGGAAGAACAAATAAAACGGAGATTTTTATGCAAAACTAGTTTTGTAAAAAATTTATTTTGCTATTTGGTGACTTTAAATAAAAAAAAAACTTAACGTAGATAAATTAAATTTTCACAGAATGTTTATATTCTGACCATGGATATTCACCCGTAAATTAACAAAACCTCATAGGAATTTTTTTATTTTATTGTAATTTAAAAATTAATAAGTAATAACTGTTGATAACAGATAAGTACTTGAAATGTTCACTAAATGTTTTTAGTTTATAATTTTCTATACACGAAAAGTATAGCAGATCAATACCACTTGCCCACTTTTATGTATATAATATTATTAATGCACTACCTTGTGATTTATCTTAAAAATTATGAATATATTATATTCCCCCTGTGAAAATTCCTGTCTACGCCACTGCTTAATTTCAATACTTTTTAACATTTTGTGTTTTGAAAACCTATTTTAATTTATGATCACTTGGTCTATAAATATTCAGATATGTACTTACCTGCTTTAATCTACGAATAAAATAAAATATAAAATAATGTCTATACTATGGACAGCGAAACTTTTTGTATTTACGTGTCAAATAATATTAATTGTGATAGATTCATTTTGTCCGGCATATATTCACAAATTGAAAAATTAAAAATAAAACACATCACGCCTCCCGTTACCGTACAACCCAAAATAGCAAAGTAAAAATATTTCTATTTATTTAGATGAAAAACGGAAAATACAATAATATTATTTTAAAATAAAATAAAATAAAATTAGGCTTACCAAATTATCTACGTGTCTCTTTAACTATGCCCGACCTACACACTAATAATTAATAATCTATGCGTGACGTACCCATTGGCCGACACATCAATTCGCCGACACACCATTTTGCCGACATTAATTTTGCATCCCGATTTGCATGCATTGACATTGAATTACATACACTTAAAAATATAATTTTTTTTACTGTTTTAAATTTTTATAAATTAAGAACATGTTCAAGTCAACTACCACATTATATATACTTAGCTATTATAGATAGGTATTAGTATTGATTATAGTAGGTATTGATCATATTAATGATATAAGCTAGATATCATAAAAAAAAATAATTTTTATATCTATGATCTGAACATTTAATATAAGGCCTACGTAAGTAGGTCATGATAGAAGCAAAAGATGTAAGAAATGCATTCGCACAATTCTTTTTATTTATTTTTTTTGATATTTTAAGTTTATACTTTGGACGATAAATAAGTTATTTATACGAAGAACGACGATTTAGTTATTTAATTATAATTAAAAAATATTTTTTGTAGGGATTTGTAACTTATATACATATATTATTATATTAATTATATATACACACCTCCGAAGGTTATCGGCCCATATCGCTCCTCTGTGCATTAAGTAAATTATTAGAAAGAATAATTAATAACAGACTCAGTTGGTACCTTGAAAAAAAAAACCTACTTGGGGAAAAACAATTCGGTTTCCGGAAACAAAGAAGTACCTACGATTGTCTTACCAACATTGAAACTGAAATTCGTGACACATTTATTACTAAACAAAGCATGATACTTATATGTCTGGACATATGCAAAGCCTACGATACCGTATGGAGGTACAAGGTGCTTAAAACGCTACATAACTGGGGAATCCATGGCAACATTCTTGCTTATTTACAAAATTTCTTATCAGACAGATCATTCATTGTAAAAGTCAACAACACGCTCTCAGAAGAATTCACGCTAGTCAATGGAGTGGTGCAAGGTTCCCCCATTAGTGTTACACTATTTTTAATTGCAATTAATGAAGTCACTAAGATAATAAAACTTCCCACACATATCAATATTTTTGCCGATGATATTAATTTACACTGTAAAGGTAAAAACAATAAATCCATCCTAGAAAACATACAGCGTAGTGTAGATATCATAAACGATTGGAGCAAAACAAATGGGTTTAGATTTTCACCAATTAAATCCAAATGCATAGTTTTCTCTAAGAAAACAAAAAAAGCACCCAAACCAGAAATAAAACTCAATGATGCAATTATACCCATAGTCAATGACATCAAAATTCTTGGAATGTTTTTCGACAAAAATCTGAACTGGAATAAGCACTTGTCATTCTTAAAAACAAATACTTCCAAAACCACCAACATAATTAAACTACTAGCTAATAATAAATGGGGTGCTCAAAACAAAATTCTCCACAATTGCTACAAAACTCTTATAAGATCCAAAATAGAATACGGTGCTATCATATACGGCAGTGCAAAAAAAACAAATCTAGAAAAACTCGAGACAATTCAAAATAACAACCTACGCCTAATAACAGGTGCATTTAAAAGCAGCCCTATCAAAAGTCTTCTATGCATTACCGGGGAGATGTCCTTAGAAAAAAGACGCAAATTACTTGAACTACAGTACGCTTTTAAAATAGCCTCATATTATCCAAACAACCCAACCTATTATTCTTTATTCGACAGAAGAAACTATAATGCAGATTATCTACAGACCAACATAAGCAAACCAATTGGCAGACGGATTGAAAACTTTTTTAAATCCCATAGCATAAACCCAACACATATAATAAAATCCGAAATTCTGACCAAACCACCTTGGAGACCAAACAAGTTTGTAATTGATTTGAGCCTTGCTGAAAACAACAAAGGAAACACAGCCCCTCAGATATTTAGAAATTTTTTTAAAGAAAAAACACAAAATGATGATCAGGTATTTGTGTTTACCGACGCATCCAAAACCGAAAACCGCATCGCATTTGCAATAATAATCAATGGCTCAGTATACAAATCTAGACTACCTGCCCTAAACAGCATATTTACCGCAGAAGCCTTAGCGATCCAAAAAGCAATCCATATAATCAAAGAAATGCCAAACAACTCCTTCAACATACTTACCGACTCTCTGAGTACTCTAGCAAGTATCCAAAACCCCAAAAAAAAAACAATGAAATAACCAACAACATTATAAACCTTCTCAACAGCACTACCAAACATATTACACTAACATGGATTCCCAGCCATACCGGAATAGAAGGGAACGAAAAAGCTGACATGATGGCGAAACAAGCAACCAGTGATCAAACCATTGAAATGTTAAACTTTCTCTCCAAAGATGACCTTAAAAGGGAAGCTAAAAATATCATAATAAACTTATGGCGCAAGGAATGGCATTTACTGAGGGACAACAAATTAAGAGAAATTAAATCCACCACCGATAGATGGATTAACCCAACAAACTTAACAAGGGAACAAGAAGTAATTTTAACCCGCTTAAGAATTGGACACTCCTGGCACACCCACAAACATCTCATGGACAAAACTGACCCAGAACCATGCATCACCTGCGGATCCGAAATCTCCATCAAACACCTCCTATTAGAATGTCGCCAATTTAATGATATAAGAACAAAATACAACATGCCAAGCACCATCTCAGAATGTCTCAACAATGAACCTCTCAATATCTACAATACACTTAGTTTTATAAGAGACACTAATTTATACAAAACCATTTAACCTAAATCATATTTATCTATTTGTATTTATTTATTTATTTTTTTTTTCTTTTTTCTTTTCTATATTTCCCTCCTCTCTATTAACTCACTTTGTTACTTGATTATTTATATATATTTGCTACTTTATTATTTACTTATAATGTATTAATTAGAGTGTAAACAAATTTGTGGCCAATGACCCATGTAGTCGAGACCTTATTTCTTTATAATAAAAAAAAAAAAAAAATTTTAAATCATTTTGATTAACATTTTTAGTATTTATACCGTTCAATTAAATTATTAATTAATAACTTTTATTATTTTTGGAAAAAAATAAATTAACAGTATAGATCTATCGAATACTATAAAATATCTTTGGCTAACTAATATTCATAAAAGTTTCGTCATTATTATGAATATATTATTTATAATTTATCAATATAAACTATTATAAATTATAATTATTCCTTAATTTTGTTATGAACCTAATGATTTTGTAACAATTAAGAAATGTATTGAATTATCAATTAGGTACCTATATAGAAATTTGAAACCATTATTATTTACTTGTTAGTTGTTTAATTTAATTGATCATTCTACATTATTTTTGTTTTTAGTTTGTTTAAAAATCGTCGTTATAAATGTATCAAATGCTTTTGTTAAATTTTCTTTAGATTTTGTATATATTTATAAGTAAATTGTTTGGCTAATAATTAAGTATAATTATATTAAAACACTAAAATACGTGAATACGTAAATATTCGTGTACACGTGAAATAGAGCTCTACTAACTATCAACTGACAAATGCCAATAATATCGTAGTAAAATAGTTTTATCAACATTTTGTTTGTAGATTACAATATGTAATATTCTAGATTTCCACATAAAAATTATTTTTATATTTTATAAAATTACGTTTGTCGGTGAATTGAAACTTTTTCCATTTTTACCGGAGACCGTTTTCCGCGTCGGCGAAACGAGTAGTCGGCGAATTGGGTGTCGGCGGATCAGGCCTGAATCAATCTATGTAATATATAAAAATTAATGTTTATGTGTATGTCCTTAATGCATTCCTAAACCCATAACCGTCCCCAGGGGGGGGGGCAAATGGGGCAAGTGCCCTAGGGCGTTTAAAGTATTATGAATTTAGTGGGCGTACTAAAAATGAATGATAAAAAGAAAAATTTGGAGTTTTTATTTTAGGTATTATTTTTCTATTTATACTGTAATATCAAAGATGAGTACCTATCAAATTGTATACTATTAAATATAAAATTATGTAAATAATGTGTTAAATCTTAATGCGACATAACTTCAATAATATATTCAATATTCATAAAAACAAATAAAAATATTAATACTTACTTATAAGTTATAAGATTACAATACTAATTTATTCACGTGAAATATATTTTAAATATGGATACATATTATTAAAACAATTAAGTAATATACTTATAAACTAAACTAATTCATATCTTTGGTAGTATTAAATAATATTTTCACTTGAAAAAGATTTTTTTTTTGGTTTTTTAATCGGCAAATTTAAGAAAATCACAGTATGGATTACAGAAACCATTTTTAATGATAAACAAATTGAGGTCCTTAATTGTTGTGTTTAATAATCCTTATTTAATTTGCATGGTAAAATATGGAGAAATGTCATCATTATTTTATACAGGGTGTTTAAATGTGTCAAACTTCTAGAGGTGTTTCTACACCTCAAGTGGAACAAAAAAAGTCCTTATGACTCCAGCCTTAAACAATAACTGTAGTTAGATAAAACTGAATTTTTTTAAAATGTTGACGTTTTAAAGTTTTAAAACATTTGTGTTATTCTTTTTACCCAAAAAATCAGGTGAGAACCTTGTAAGATATGTTTTCCAAACTCCAATTTTATGAGCTTTTCATCGATGTATTCAAATTAATTGTATTATACAGCGTGATTCTTTTATCAAACAACACTCATTATTTCAAAAAGTGTAAATTTTTTTGAAAATATTTTTTTACATAGTTTCAAGTTGCTTATAAAACAACGTTTTTATTAAAAAATTATATTTTTAAATATTTTTTATCCTTATAATTTTTTAAGTTTTTTACTTTTTTGAATGACAACATAGGGTTTTAATTTTATATTCTAAAGTAGAATATTTTTCTTAGTATTTTGATGCATGAAAATCGAATTTGGGTTGAGTAGTTTATGAGTTATAAGTATTTAAAGTTTAGACGAGCGGAGTGGAGTGGTTCGGGGTTACCCCGCGAAATGTTTGTCCACTTCACCGCTCGTCTAAACTTTAATTACTTATAACTCATAAACTACTCGCCCCAAATTCAATTTTCATGTATCAAAATACTAAGAAAAATATTCTACTTTAGAATATAAAATTAAAACCCTATGTTGTCATTCAAAAAAGTAAAAAACTTAAAAAATTATAAGGATAAAAATAATTAAAAAAATAATTTTTTAATAAAAACGTTGTTTTATAAGCAACTTGAAATTATGTAAAAAAATATCTTCAAAAAAATTTACACTTTTTGAAATAATGAGTGTTGTTTGATAAAAGAATCACCCAGTATATAAACATTATTATGAATCAGACTTGCTTTTAACCAAAAAAAACATGAACATAGAAATTATCACCCTTATTATTGACAGTTCGATTATGGTCATAAGGACTTCTTTTGTTCCACTTGAGGTGTAGAAACACCTCTAGAAGTTTGACACATTTATCGTGCAACACCCTATTTATTGAATAATATTTCAATAATACATCAAATATCTATACTGACAGTGAAATTTGATTCATACATAAATACATTAAAATAATGGGAATTTTATATTTGTTATCAAATACGAAAATAGTAAATTATTAGTTGGGCTGGAGCCCGGGGCCCCTGCAGTCTATGGGCGGCCTCAGTGATCAACAACCCCCACCCTCGGGTAGTTATGCTACTGTAATTATTATACCCAAAGATATATGTATATTATGTTATAAGTTATAACCAACTCATTATCAATTTTACCCACTTCTTAAAATAAATGGAGTTCGTGTATTTTGACTGAATTCTGTATATTATATCCACTTATATTAATTTGTAAAATTTACAATGCTGACTGTTATACACGCCACACGCAGAAACGCAGAACGTATGATTTATAATAAAATCTACTAATTTGTGAAAATAGTTTTATATATTTTCTTTCTGTAATGTACCTACGAATGTAATAATGAAATCGGTGTCAACTTCGAAAAAAATATAGAAACAAAATAAATATGATTCCAATAATAATATTAAAAAAATAAGTAGAAACCTTTAATTAATAAGACGTACTAAACATATTTAAGATATGTGGTTAATTACAAGCTAAAAATGTGAAGTTGAGATTATTTTGTGGGAGGGAGAGGGGCGTCAAATATTGTTGCCCTAAGGCGTTATTGGTGGTTAGAGCGGCACTGCTAAACCGTTCATCCGATTGCGATGGCATTTGGTACATTTGATATATTAGACCTCTGGGAAGAAGAAAGGCTAATTTAAAAAGGGTTAATTAGAGATCCGAACCGGGGAGGTGCTCAAATAACAGGGATTTTGAGATTTACGATGGAAATGTTTGATTGTAAACGGTCGCTATTGGTATTAATAATAATAATATTAACTGTTAATGCCTGTTGGCGCAGTGGAACTTCAATGTACTTTACTACAGAATGTCTTAAGATCGAACCACAATTTTGGTGGACCAATTTTCGGAATTTTTTTTATTTTACTTTTTTATTTTTCTTCTTTATCTATGTACGAATGTTTGGTTTTTTTTTTATTCATCCGATTTTAGTACGGTTAGGTACTCTTATCTCACCTAAAACGCCTTTCGGGATGGCTATAATACATTAAAATATAATATAATATACACTTAAAAGACATTGCTCCCACAGCGTGTTACACTCAAATGAGTTTAACGCTCACAATTTTTTTCTGGGCAACGCCGTTTAATCCAGCTAGTAATAATAATAATAATACATAATAACGTATCTCGTGTACATGGAAACATGAAGTCTGTTGTAAATAACGTTATTTTCATAACAGGAGAGGAAAAAAAAACTCGACAAGAAAAAATTACGAATTGAGGAAGAACAACAGAACAGGATAAAAGCCATGGAAACTGAAAAGGCCACAATGAAAAGAGTGAGACAGGAAAGAGCGGCGATGCGTCATCCCTCGTCAAACTCTAAAGGCAAATCTAAGAAAGGAGTAAAAGCCCAGAAAATAAAGAAAGTAGAGGAGGCTGTTCCTGTATTCAAGTTGAATAAAAACCGCCGAGGCATATACACGGTGACTTTGAATAATACGAATGATGGTCGATTGGATAAGACGGAAGAGCCGGTTGTGTTCAAGCTAGCTGACCACACGAAGGACAACGAGGACGGGGACTCCACTTCAAGTTTCAACGTAGAATTCATCACACCAACAGCAATTCACGCATTGCGCTCGAAAAAACCCGTCAAGGCCAAAGCCGTGCATCCTCCTGTTACGATCGTTGAAGAAGTCCTACCACCAGTTAAACCTATAAACAAAAAGAAAGTTTAAAGAATTGTTGTTCGTATTGGGCTATAACTATTATTGAACTACCGGCATTGGTACCGAAGTGAAACCACTAGTAAGTCATTTCTTTCGATTAGTATTTAAATAAACAGAACCTATTAAAAATACGTACCCATTTAAATCCTCTCAAAAATCAGGTATGTAGCCTCCCGGCTTGTTCCAGTTCTGTGGCAGCGACGGCAAACCCGTATGGCTCAAGTTCTGACGGCAAGTCCAGACGGTTTCAGTTCTGTGGTGAACACGGGCTTGATTAGTTTCGATCGAAATCCAGGTTTGCGATGACCGCAAACCCTGCAATGCTGATCTATGCTATCTACGTTAGTGTTATAGTTCCATCCGATAGTGATTTTAACTTCGTACACACTTTTTACAAATTATATTACACATAAATATTCTAGACCATTATTTTTAACCATTGATACATTATTATAATAATAATAACAAATAACTAGTCCAGTATTTATTATATTTTTTCCCCCAAGTATCATTGTAGGTATTATATATTTAAAATTTAAACTTTACCGGTTTCGCTCCCCAAAAATACCTCCACTACCTATATTACAGTAAATCAATAGAGTCTACGACAATATTGATCTCTGTTCTCACAATAATGATCATGTTATTAATATTCAGAAAGTTGTATACTTTTTAAATAATTATATGCCGAAAAATGAAAATGTTCTTCTGAATAATAATGAACAAGTAAAAGTACCTACGTTCAATGTTCAAATTTGTGTGAAAATATTTGACACATATTATGTAAAAGAAACCTAAACTTAATATGCTTTTGATGTCTGTAGAGCTGGATTATTTTACAATTATAAAATTTGTAATATTTATAATTCAAATTTTCAAACATTGTAATTAATATTTTCATTTCGATTCTAGCGGCACCTAGGCACCTACCTACTTTTTGAGCACTGTTGATACTTATTACATTATAATATGGTACCTATTGCCTTTGCCTGCCTTTACCTACTTACGCTAGTTACTACTTACCACACTGTTAGAACATAATTTAGCTTACAAGTAGCAATTAAAAATCAGATTAATTTAGTTAATAGTTTATAGAAAAATTGCAATCATAGCTCAAAAGGATGGTAAACATGGTAATAGAAATATTGTAGGTAGTTGTCAGCTGATGTAATGGAAAATTGATAGTACCTACCTATAAAATTAAGAACGTCATACCTATTCCAACAAATATCTGCATCTAAATTTCATGTAAACATAAACAAATATTGTTCTTAAAATATCTTTTGAAATAAATATTTGAAAATATAATTAATAAAATATATTTTAGATTCTGAGCGGAGGAATGACTGCATTGATTTTTCAATCAAGTGTTCTTTAATTTTTATGTCTAAACACGAAAAGAAGTAATACAAAAAATTGTATTACTTAACTAAGACGGTTTCTGGTTGCAAATGGATTTGTACTTTTAGATGTAAAATTTAATATGCCAAATATTTTTCAAAACAACAGAGAAAAACCAAAAAAAAAATTAAAGATAATCTGGAATTATTACGCAAATCAGTTTTCGACAAAATCAATATTGTTTTTTTGGGCGGTTCCATTTTCCTCCACATTATTTTCGACTAAAGTTATGTCTATTTTCCTCCAATATTTTAGCAAATATTTTTGTTGCAGTATTACGTTCCGGCACTAGTAGCTAATCTGTTGATGAATACACTCTGGTATCGGCTATCTATATCAGCTATATCGATTAAGCCTAATAAAGATACCTACGTACATATTCCATACGGGCATATACGTATATACTTATACATGTTATATTGTGTATTAGTTCACAGTTGTCACTTACTATTATGATGACACACATTGAGTGAGACAGACACACGAATGTATACGATATACTCGCATCAATAAGACTATATTTTTAGTAGCGAACTGTACGTCGACTAGTCACTAGTGTTTATAGTGTTGGATGTCTTTATAATTCTTGGTTTCATATTACATTTATTTAAATGTAAACATGTCTGAAAAAGCGACGTTTATTGAAAGTTTTCGTGGAAAACGTTTGTTAATTCGTGATGATTACAAATATTTTTTTAGCATATGAGTTAAAATCTGGATTATCACGTTGGCGTTGTTATTTGACTACTTGTCAAGCAATTATATATACGCTAATAAAACTGATGAAATAGTAGACGATTAATTACACAAAAGTGCATCTAAATCATTTGCTATCACCAAAAAAAAAAAAAATCGACAAATAGTGAATAACGCATGTAAACGAAAAGCAATTGACGATTTATTCTCACGACTATTCAAATTTTGATAATAACGATATTCATAAAATTAGGAAAAATATTTATGCAGATCTTCAATATTTGCTGCCGAACCTGCCAAAAAATATTGAAGAGGTACATGGTTACATCCAAAAACCGCACACTTTTGATTTTGACCCTAAAAAGGTCGATTAACAAAAAACTCACAGCTTATCGGTTATTGTATAACAAATTACCTTACATTTAAAGTGGGTTATAACAGCACACTATTTTTAGTGAAGATAGTGAAAATATAAGACTATAAGATAGGTAATATTCAATAATCAAGTCTTAAGTTGTCACTCGTTATTAGTCGGTCTCGAGTCGGTTAGTGTACCGTAAGAGCGGGATACTTTGCTCCAAATATATTTCTTTTTTAGTTTGAACCTATACTATAGCTTCAATAACAAAGATAAAAATTACCTGTTCGCGTTGTTTTATATGTATAGATGTTAAGAGGTAAGAGCAATTCAAAAAAATCCGAATGTCGTACTAGTGACTTACTTACTTATTCCCAAAAGTTTGGAGCAAAGTTAAAATACATTGCAGGTTACATTGCACAATGATTAAAATTACCTTACTTTAATGCATATAATAACTATTGGTGCAATGTTTAGTGCTTGTGTTTTAACTTATTTGAACCTATACTTAATATAATTTAATAATATATTTTTTTTTTTTTTTTTAGTTGATTAAAAGTCTTTTTTCAATACATTTTAAATTAAATTTCAATCCCCTAGATTTTGGATAACTTTTCCGTTATGTATTTTTGTGTTTTTGAAAACCATTTTTTACATGATATACATCTTGGAGGAAAACTAATAGATTCATGTCCGTAATGTTTGAAAAAATTAGTAATGTTAATAAGAATATTATAAAAAAAACTACAATCTCTGATCTCAAAATCGTAATGTGCTACGATTGATATCAATAAAAATTTTTTTTGGAGCAATGTTTAACCCCTGGAGTAAAGTATCCCGCTCTTACGGTACCTACTGTACCTACGTCTATATAGTGTTAAAACGTTAATATTTAACATTTTTAAAATGGATTTTAAAATTATTGAAAGTAATAAAAGTGGCAACTGTTTATTACTTGACAATTTTGAATGCAGAAAATTTAGAGTCAGTAATAATGGAAATGTGGCTTGGCGCTGTTATATTAAAAATTGTACATGTAAGGTTACAACATGCACTCAAATGAAGAATAAACTAAAAATTAATCATATATAAAGTTTTTAGTATAATAGGTACATTTTTTTTGATGAATAATTAATTAATTATACATATACATATGCGTTTTTTGTCTATTGATATTTTTGGGGTCAAAATCATAACTGCGTGGTTTTTGGATACGACATTTTTTAAAATTTCGCGGTTTTGACCTATTAAATGTGTGCGGTTTTGTCCTGTATTTTATCAAAAGTGTGCGGTTTTTGGAGTCAACGAGGTACATTTAGCAATCAATAATATGGACATTAATACTACTTCCGAAGAACAATTTTTACTTGTTAATGATGATGGTAAAAATGTGTTAATATTTTCTTGTGGCTGCATACTAATTGCGTCCCGAAGATAACTACGAAAAAAGGTCTAATCCGAATTGCGGCCCGTGTTTATTTTGGGTACAGACGAGTTGCGGCCCGGGTTTTTTTAATTCAAGATAATTTAATCTTGACTGATAAAATATATCACCCTATAATGTAGATACCAATAACTAATAAGTACCCCTTGTTTTTAATTTATTTATAATGTCGAATGAAATGTTAAGTGAAATGTTGAGTGAAAAAAATCGCAGTTTATATGTAATTGATGGATATAAATTTCGTTTCCATAAAAATTTAAAAAATAATGTTGATAGATATTGCTGTACTAAAAAGATTTGTACAGCATATATCCATTTAAATAAGAACAAAATTATTAAACAAGTTTTAAATCATGAAAACCACGAAAAAGATAGTGATGAAAGCCATAGGCGTGCACACGGGGGGTGCAGGGTAGCAACTGCACCACCAGCGAGTTAATTTTAGAAATAGATTGATAGATAAATAATATTTTTTAAGTTTATAATTTTTTTCAAGCCCGCGGTCACACGTGAGTGCAGCAGTGAGTGCAGCAGCAGGCTGGTACGTATGTATGATACACGGTTAAAATCGTTTTCTGTTATCGCGGCTCGATTGTCGATAGTTAGGTATCGTAAAAGTGGCTAGGTATACCAAAAGTTATTTATAACTTCTGAATTGCTTTTATTAATTGTGATAACTGATAATAAAACACTTTAGTAGCTGTTGTTGTTTACAGTAAGAAATAAGAATCCCTGGCAGGCGGCAGCGTAGTCGTAGTGCAAAATAATTATTTTATGGTGGGTAATGTATTCGCGTGTTTGATTAATTTATACATTTTATTGATTTAATATATTAATTATAAAGAAGTTTAGTAGGTAGGTAAACAGTATATTTAAGTATTTAACTATAGTTACGTGATATAAAATTTAAAATGTCACGAAAAATAAAGTCAACAACCTTGTATAACTTTTTTAAGCCTTCATCACCAAAACAAATAAAAACTGAATTATAATTTATAAAATTATTGACTTCTAAGAGAAATGAAATTATTAAAAAAATAATTATTAATTTTTTTTTTTTTTATTAATCCTGGCCCGACTTGTTACATGGCTAGGTAGCATACTAAAATT